CATCATGATGCTGCCACCACCGTGCTTCACTATGGGGATGGTGTGCTAACCTACTAACCTGACAAACAGCTTCTGTTTGTATGAAAACAAATTAAAAATGTAAATAATAAATGCCAGTATATGTGAAGCCCTCGTTTATTGTCCAGTGTTGGTAGCATCTGAGGAAACATGTTGATTCCAGGTTTTCTACACAATCAATGAGATGTTTATCTGTTTATTAATTTGCAATTCTTTTCGGAGCACCTTTGTTTTAATCTGAAAGGTCACAGTAGACTCAGACTGAAGCTTGGCTCAGGACAGAGTTTCCTCTAGATTCATCTTAGCGTGATGTTTGGATGGTGGTGGCCACAGCAGTGCGTCTGTCAGGAGCTCCTCCCGTCTGCCTCCCAGCAGACTAACATCATTACACAGCTCACATCCAGCTCCAGCTGCTGATTAAACCTCATAAACTCTTCACGCTGCTGCTTCCAGGCCCGGCTGACCTTCCTCCACTGCCTCTATCAGCGCCTGCTGGCCGGCTGCGTCCTCCTCCGGCAGCCCCAGAGCATTCTGGGTAACTTCACCTGGCCGGAGCTGTGTGACGTCATCAACGAGCAGGTGGACCAGCTGACCTCTGACCTGCAGAAGGCCAACGACAAGGTGAGTGTGTAAAAAAATATGAGCTCAGCCACCTCTGGTTTGTCTTAGATATTTATTGCATTAAATACAGATATTAACAAAGATATCCGTGAAATGTTGGGTTCACATATGAAAATCTTTCAAAAATTGACCCACTTTCACTGTTGTTTCTCATCATGTCATTTTCAGTTTCTCTTCCGGCTTTGATATTTTTGATGCCACAATTAGCCACTTATTCACTTAGCTTAGCATCACATCACCGTGCTTCGTCATGACGCTGCCACCGCCGTGCTTCACTGTGGGAATGGTGTACTTTTGCTAATGTGGCTAATGCTACCTTTTTTAAGCAGGTTAGCCTGAATGCTAACTTGACAACAGCATCACCCGCAGCGTGTCGTACTAGATTGTACGTGGATGTGCACTCGTGATGCTGTTGGATGTCGTTGCAGGTGAATCGATGGCTGTCATGTTCACCTGTCCCCTCTCTCTCTCTCCGTCTGTAGATCGCCCACCTGCAGAGTGTGTGCCATAAGAAGAGTGTGTGTGTGCGCGAGCTCCAGCGCAGTCAGGAGTGTGTGTTGTCTCAACTGAAGGAGAGTGTGAAGAGGAGGGAGGAGGCCTGGAACAGCCAACACACCAACACCGTGGAGGAGCTGCAGGTAACACCAGCTTCCCTTTCAGTGGCTTTCAGCACTCAGTCATGGTCGGTTTAAATGGATTCATGTAAGTTCTCCTCCAAAAAGCCAAGTTAAATGGATTCAGTGGAGAGACGCAGTAAAACAGGGAAACTTCCTGGGGCTTGAATACCTCCTGCATGTCCCTCAGGTGTTCCTCCCTCAGGTGAGCAGCTCCTCATAGATGGAGATGTGAGTCTCCCTGTGGAGAACCTCTCAGCTGAGTCAGCTGCAGGTTTGCAGATGAAGGAGGAAGCTTCTGTCCCTCTGCGAAGAGACGAGATGACAGAAACTGAACATCATCGCTTCAGCTTCACTGTCCCCGAGAGCACAGATCCTCCTGACAGAAGCAGAGCGAGTCGAGCACAGCAGAGCCCAGAAGAAAAGCCCAGACCAAGAAACGGACTCTATATAAACGATCAAACTGATTAGGTTTATTATCAGCTCATCTGGTGTTTAATATCTCAGTGAGGCTGGTTTTAGTCTCTCACAGCTTGTTCAGTTCAAACACCTCAATGAAGCAGCAGCCCAGGTAGAAAAAAAAAAACAGATTTAAATGATGATTAAAGTTTCAAAATCTCTGGTTGTTTGATGAATCGATGCCTGTGTTCATGAAACGAGAAGGAGAGGAGTCAGCTTGGTGGTCATTTTGTGGCTCTTTGTTTGTCTTCACGCCTGTTTTTGTGTTTTTGTGGTCGTTTTATGTTTTGTTGTTGTTTTGCATCAACTTGCAGCAGTTTTGTGTTTGCTTGTGGTGTTTTTGTATCTTTAAATAGAACTCTTTGACTTCCTGTTATGAACTGACTGACAGTGATGCTTTAGTCATGACGCTGCCACCACCGTGCTTCATCATGATGCTGCCACCGCCGTGCTTCATCATGATGCTGCCACC